ATGAGAAGAATAAGAAGAGTGTTGGGAAGACAGAAACAAAGTCCGTTGTGCAGATTACTCTATTCCATTCATCTGTGGATGGACACCCAGGCTAATTCAATGACACGGTTCTGAAACAAATGAGAATTCATGGATTGAAAAATAACAAGTCAGTCCAAGACAGAGGAAGACACCTGACCAACCTCTGGCCTCCACATCCACCAAGGTACACTCACAAATGAATTTAATTAGCAGGTAGGTGTGACCCTAGCACTCAGGAGGCTGAGGCAGGAGGGTTGCCTGAATTTGAGGCCAGTCTGGACCACACAGCAACTACCAGGGCTAGCTAGGGCTAGCAAGACCCTGTCTCAAAAACAAAATAAATATAACAAACAACAAGATCAAAAAGAAATTCAGGGAGCTAGAGAGATATGACTCAGGAGTTAAGAGCCTTGGCTGTTTTCAGAGGAGCTGGGGTTCAGTTTCCAGCCTGCATGTGGCACCTCACAGTCGTTTCCAGGGGATCTTCTGGCCTCCACTGGTACCAGGCACACAGGAGGTACACAGATATACATGCAGTCAAAACACCCATGTGCATAAAATAATTTAAAGGAGAAAAACAACGACCTTAGAGGGGAATTCAGTTAGAATTCAGTTCCTGAAAGGCCCAGATCAGGAGCCCACATTGTACATCCCTGACCTCCAGGCTGGTCAGTCTTCCCTGGCCTCTGCTATTCTACCTCACTCCACCCCCAATCTCAGTTCCCACTGAACCCTCAGGCCACTCCCCTTTCCTCTGCCCTTCCCGGCTCAAGATGTCCTAGTGCCCCACCCTCCCGACTCAGTCCTCCCTGGAGTGGGGATTAGAATCCAGCTCCACAGACACCTTGAGTCATTGTCCTCTGGGCCCATCCCCTGGCTGGTTGAAGTGAGGGGAGTGGGGCTGGGTCTTCATGGGCTCTGAAGCCCAATTAAGTGTCATTAGCGGAAGAGAGTTCCGGCAGGATTAGAACCGTGCCCTGCCCCAGCTTCCTCATCCTCCACCACCCCACCGCCAAGAGGAAATCCGATGAGCTGAAACAAAGGGATCAGGTGGGGCATCATGTGTGACATCTGGACAGTTGACTTTCAGGTGGCCGGCAGATGAAAGGGCAGACAGGTAGGTGGACAACGAGATAGGAGAGAGAGACAGAGAGACAGAGACAGGCTGAACAGGTGACGAACGCATCAATCGCATCCAAGACTTGGCAAACAGGTGAGAAGGGGTCATATGGGGCAGTGAGGGAATGGCCTGGGGCAGAGAGGAGAGGGCAGAGGTGGGGGCATGGAGAAGGGTGAGCTCAGATACCCCACCTTTCCTGGCAGACCCTGGAGACAGCCCATCATGAGGCCCAGCACCCTCTTGCTCCTGTGTGTTGTGGGTGAGTTTTCTGAGCCACAGCAGGGTAGGAAGTGGGAGGGAGGGGTGGTGACAGCCCTGCGATGTGTCCGTCCCTTCCCCCATGATAAGG